TAATTGTCTGAAGAAATTAAAGCCTCTAAGTCATTAATTTTGTTTCTAATACTCCTAGCATTCAAATACAGACCACTAATGGTAGGCCTTTTACAGTGTCTACTTTTAATTTTTATTTGGGCTTTCCGTCTCTCCCCACATAAACAACACGGGACAGGTGAATACAATCAGGAATTCACATGAGGTTAATGAGGGGGTGTGGCACACAGGAGGATGTACGAGCAGGTCATGACATGATTTATCCAGGTGTTAATATTCTTATCAATATTAGAGTTGGCAAGGCATGATTGCTTTTTGCAAATATATGCATATATTTATTAGAAATCAATTACCAACAATAAACAAAGATTGTCCAAAGGTCCCTTCATCACTTAAGAAAAACTAAAGCCCAACAACTGATCAGCACGTTGACCTGCTAAATATTACTTAGTCATATAACTACGTAAAGCAAAAAGCCATTTTATCCTAAATGTCTGACCCAAGATTTACAAAGAGCCCCAATGGATAGAGAAGAGGGTTTGAGATGTGATGTTTAATGCAATATCGGTACATATGCATTTAACACAAAAACAAAACTTCAAGTACTTACAAAAAATAAAGAAATTCAATTTCGGGAGGGGAGGGGGTTCTCAGTTTTAAATTACTCGGATGTGTAACAGCGCAAAGGTGACTAATATCACAATACAGTGATCCCCCACTATATCGCGGTTCAGGTATAGCGCTCACGCTATATCGCAGATTTTTCCCGATGCATGACAGTTCTCTGCGTATCGCCTGCCTTGCTTGTGGTCTGATTGTTTTCGTTTTGTTTTAAGCCCTACGATGGCTCCCAAGCGTCCTGCATTTCTTTAGCTATATGTGAATGAGGTGGTCGGTAGCATGTTTCTGTGATGTCTTAACGGCATAATTTACATCTTCCTCAAAGTCATTCTCAACAACAACAAATGTAGTTTTGTATAGCGCATTATCACAACATTACATTGTCTCAAAGCACTTTACAACATCCCCACCCAAAGCACCCAGTAAGTAAGCCATAGGTGACAGTGGCAAGGAAAAACAGTGGTTCCCAAACTGGGGGGCGCAGAGGTATTACGGGTGTGGCGGAGTGATCTCCAATACCCTTTTTATAAATAGCCGACTACGCCACCCCAGGGACACCGCCCCCGGGGACAAAGATGATAACCCCACTCAACTACAGCACACAGGTTCGATTCACTGGAAAGGGCCAGAGACGTGAATCAGTAAAAGTTTATTACATCCTATGGAAGATTCAATAATCCACACTAAACACAATAAAGCTAAAACCCCTTTGGCACCCAACCCCTGCAGCAAACCACGCCAGATCAAACTGGTCTCCAGACCAGGATTGCTCCACAGGCGGGACCTCCGTGGGTACTTCACAGGAGCACGGACAACCACACACACGTGCTTAGTGAGCTAATACCAGTGACTTATACTGCACATGCACACGGGTGAGGTCCACCACCAACCAGGAGGGTGCCACGCACGGCTACTAGCCCTGAAACAGCGAAAAGACAAGACACCAGGTTAGTATCGTACAGCTGCTTTCCTCTCCCCCGCGACGCCTGCTTAACCACCCAAAGCTAATACAAAATCACAGCAAAACAAAATAAATTAAAACAAACCAAATACAAAATAATCAATCCATACAATATAATAAATCAAACCAAAGGATAACCAAATTACAAAATCTTGAGGCAGTATATAGGCTATCCGCAGAGATCGGCAGCAGAACGGCACTGCTCCAAGAAGCTCTACGCACCAAGGTTCCACGCTGGGCTACCCCCATGAGCCCCCTGTGCTCCACAGGACGTGTAGACAGACAAACCAAGACCAAAACAAAACAGCGGTGAGGTCCACATTCCCAGTAAACCTGCAATATATTAAAATTACAGGGCACACTAACAAATAAATACCCCCGTTAATATCCCCGATATACCTACCACCAGCCTGAGGACTTATAACACTGCTGGGGCTGCCTTCACCACCTCCCCAACTACAAAAACACAAGCTGCTTAACGGTAGGTACAATCGCAGGGCACACATATTAAAACCGAGGCTTACCGGCAACAGGACACAGTTCCCCAAAGGCGTGCATTACACCGACCGCGCGATCCCCAACATACCACATCAATGGTTAAGGGATGAGAACGAATGTGACAGTCAACCTCCTGCGCACTCACACCACGGCTGCTACCTACACCGCCAGCAACAGGAACCGTGTCAGTGCCATACCTAGCCCTCCACCCCCTATATACAGCACTAAGCCACACCCAACACACAAGGGAACCAATAGGGCGAAGGAATCAATATTCCCCACTTGGCTACATTCCATCCCCGCCTTTTACATCGTTGCCCCGACAAAGAGCAACGCTAACCCCAGGGGGGACCAAATCAACTCCATGGTCAAAACAACCCCATCACAGACTGTAAACTAGCATCCTGTGGCCCACCCGGATCATTCACTGGGGCCCTCACTGCCTGTGGCAAATGGTGAATGTTAGAATGCTGTCCAGCCGTGGCCTGAGTGGTCCTTCGTACGACACCCCCACCCGGCACCCCCCTAGAAGTACTACCTAAAGCTGGAGGAGGAACTCCATCCCCTCCTAATAACCTACCAGTCACAGAGGGCCCTGCAACACCTACCCCTACCGACTCCACTGGTGCTCCCGGGGCCTCAACCACCCGCAGACACCAGTCCCCCATCTCAACTTCCCTCTCCGAGGGGGAAAAAGTCACTTCCCCACATTCCTTCCGCCCAAGCAGAAAGGGATGCGTCCTTCGCATCAAACCACCCGCGGGTAATATTATCGAACAGCGGTAACATTAACTCTAAAAGGACAGTTGCTCCTGAGCTTTGCTCGGTCGCCGGTCGGGGCTGGGAGGACATTTTCCCCCCACTATGGCTCCTGCCCAAACATCAGGAAATGAGGGGCCTCTCCGGTCGCCTGATGAGTGGTGTTATAACAAAAGAGCAACTGAGGCAAATAGGACACCCAATCCCTCTTCTGAGAAGGTGGCAGAGCACGTAACAAGTTGTGCAGGGTGCGGTTAAACCGCTCACACTGACTATTTCCCCCTGGATGGTATGGAGTTGTCTGTGACTTCTCCACCTGATACAACTGGCACAACTGCTGAATTCCACTTTCAAAGCTCCGGCCTTGGTCGGAATGCAACCGACTCGGAACCCCGAACTTGTAAAACCATTCGTTCACTAGTACCTGGGCCACCGTAGAGGCACACTGGTCCCTAGTGGGCACGGCCTGCGTAAATTTACTAAACACGTCGGTCATCACGAGAACACTCTCATACCCACCCTTAGAGGGCTCCAAAGATGTAAAATCCATGGCTAAGATTTTATTAGGCCGCGACGCCACCAAGTGGCCCATAAAACTCTGCGCACCCAGTTGCGTGTCCTTGGCCACCTGACACCGTTCACACTCCTGACACCAACGGGTCACCTCGGAGAACATGCCCGGCCAATAGCAACACTGCCATATCAACTCAAGAGTGCGCTCAATACCCTGATGGCAGTGTGCCTGATGCAACTGGACAAAGACCTGCCAACGCAACACTGTTGGCACTACGAGCTGAAAGACTGGCTCCGTTCCAGCCAGGCGCAACACCCGAAGATGTAACACCCCGTCCCTCATCACCAACCGCTCCCACTGACGCAGTCGCGCAAGGGCAGGCTTGGTGAGCTGCCGGCGCTCCTCCAAACAGGGGCGTTTCTGCCGCGTCCAGAAAGCCATCACGTCCCGCAGTTCCGTGTCCGCTCCCTGCAAAGCGGCCAAATCGACTGGATTAGAGCAAGGTAGTGCCATAACCACCTCTTGTGTAGCCACAGACTTTAAGTGCAAAGCAGCCTGCAAGGGCTGTGGAAAAGCCGTACCTGAGGCTGCTAGAACACCTTCATCAGGCTCCACACAATACTGTCGAGACAGTGCGTCCGTATTTTGGTTGATTCAGCCTGACCAGTTCTTGATCTCAAAATCAAAGACCGCCAACTGTGCTGCCCACCGCTGCTCAGTGGCCCCGAGTTTAGCACACGATAGGTAGCTAAGCGGATTATTGTCCGTATACACGACACACTTGTTCCTCAAAAGATATTCCCGGAACTTTTCCACCATCGCCCACCTGAGTGCCACAAACTGCAGCTTCATGGAGCTATATTTGGACATGTGCTCCGGGGGCCGGAGAGTGCGACTAGCATGCTATCGGTCTCACTTTACCGTCCCGCTCCTGAGAGAAGATGGCCCCTAATCCACAGTGACTGGCATCCACCTCTAGAAAAGGAAGAGAAAAATCTGCATAGGCTAGCACTGGCGCCTGGGTGAGCTTAGCCTTGAGAGCCTCAAAACTCTGCTCACACTCCCCAGTCCAAGCAGCCGCAAAATTACCAGCAGGAACCCTCCGATGTTTGGTGCCAGTCACCTCAGCCACCAGTCGATGGAGCGGAGCGGCTAGCTTAGCAAATCCCTCCACAAAGCGCCTATAATAGTTAGCAAACCCCTAGAAAGACCGCAGCTCTGACACTGCAGTGGGTCGGCGCCAATTAGCCACGGCTTCGATCTTACTGGGGTCAGTAGCCACCCCCTGGTTCGAGATGATGTGGCCCAAATACCACACCTCTTGCTGGAAGAAAACACACTTCTCTAACTTAGCCTTGAGTCCGTTCCAGCCAGGTGCAACACCTGAAGATGTAACACCCCGTCCCCCATCACCAACCCACTGACGCAGTAGCGCAAGGGCAGGCTTGGTGAGCTGCCGGCGCTCCTCCAAACAGGGGTGTTTCTGCCGCGTCCAGAAAGTCATCACGTCCCGCAGTTCCGTGTCCGCTCCCTGCAAAGCGGCCAAATCTTAGCCTGAGGTGACTTAGCCTTCCTGCTACAACCGCTCCAATACCAGGTCTAGCCGCTGCAAGTGCTGGGACACACTAGATGAAAACACCACAATGTCATCTAGGTACAAAAGCATGGACTGGCACTGCTGATCACCAAACAACCGTTCCATGAGATGCTGGAAGGTACTGGGGGCATTACATAAGCCAAAAGGCATCCGATTCCATTCGAACAGTCCAAATGGTGTGCAGAAAGCAGTCTTGACCTTATCCCCCTCCGCCACCGGCACCTGATTATATCCACTGGCCAGATCCAAGGTAGAAAACCACTTAGCCCCTGTCATGGCATCCAACGACGACTCAATGCGAGGAAGGGGAAACGCATCTTTATGAGTCTTACTGTTAAGAAGGCGGTAGTCTACGCATAACCGCAAACTACCATCCTTCTTCACCAGCACAATCGGGGATGCATACAGACTACTTTCCTGAATAATTTGGGCTTCCAGCAGCTGATGAATATGTGTCTTAACTGCCTCGTACTCAGAAGGTGGAATATGACGGTAACGTTGCCATACGGGAACTTCATCCACCAGTGGAATACTGTGCATCAGGAGGCTGCAGATACACCCCAGATCCCTGTCATGACTGGCAAAGACAGACCCATACCAGCACAACAATGACCTCACCTGGGTCTGTTCATTCTCTGTCAACCCTGGCAACTCTAGCTGATTAATCGGATCCAGTCCAGATGTCGAGGCAGTCTGGGTAGCAACTAACGCTGCTTCAATCGGCTCCTCCGTAACACCAGGGGGCAAGATAACCATATGTATTCGACTCAAGTGACCTATAGGTGTCCTTGAAAAGTGCAAAACATCCGACTTCCCCACATTGACTACCGGAATATATGCCGTGTCTCCCACTACCCGCACCAAGGAGGCAGACGCCAGTAATCCCACGGGCACACCCAGCTCTGGAGGTTCATAAAGCACCGACTGACCTGCAAAATGATCAGAACAGGTAACCGCAACCAGCTTCATGGTGCCCCCAGGAACACGACAAGCACCCTTCCCTCGCACCCGTACCCTGGTTAACTGTTGGCTCCGCTGAGTCGAGGCCGCTTGACACTGCTGGAGGGCCTGAACAAGGCCACCATCAGACCCGGACACTAAGGGTTGACTGAACAAATCAGCCCCATGCTGCCCGAATAATTCCTGATAACACTTACTAATCACATTCATTCCTAGCACTCCAGGAACTTGAGGAGGTAGGGTACCTGGGGGGTCCTTGACAACCAACACCCCACAACGTGGGATCACAGTACCCCCCAGCTCCACATCCAGTTCCAAATACCCCAAGTATGGAATGGCAAGCCCGTTCGCTGCCCGCAGTTGCAGCCAATGGCAGGACTGGAGGCGAGCCGGGCCCCATGGCTCAAACTGCTCCCTAAAAAAGCTCTCCCGAATGGTAGATACCATGGACCCAGTATCCAATAAACAGGGAACCCGAATCCCCTGTATTAACACCTCTACATTGGGACAATCTAGACGGGAGACTTCCCCTATTCTGTACAACCCCTGAGCCCACATCAACCCCAACCGCACTGAGGCCCGACAGTGCGGCGGGCACTAGTTTTCCAGCTGCTTAGGGGCCTGGGGCCTAGCCTCCCCTAACGGTACTGAATGAGGGGGAACCCTTTCCCCATCACATTCCCTGGCATAGTGGCCCGGTTGCTGACACCTGCGACACCAGTCCCTTACGTGCCACACAGAGGTCACAGCACCTGCAAAAGTCCTCCACATCCCTCCTCAGCCGCCCCCAGTAAAAGCCCTGACGCACACGCTGGACCAGACCCTGCAGAGCCATGCAGAGCCTTCAGCACCTCCTCCTGCATCCCTTTAGGCACCACAACCTGCCATCTCTTCTCCCCTGTTGCAGGCTCCACCCAGGCCCGCTGCAGGACCCCATCCAGCAGGCGTAATGTGCTGAACTTCACCCATAGCCCTTTGACAACCGGGGAGAGGGCTGCCACCTCTTCCCATGATGGCCGCTGCTATGCCCCCACCCATAACATAACAAGTTGCAGGGCCGGCAAGGCAAGGCTACCTAATCGGAACAGATAGGGGGGGCGACAGAGAATATCAGCGGTCCCTACTTATCTTTTAGCCTTCCAGAAGGACAACTA